CCCTGGTGTTCAGTACGCGTCATAGCGACCGGTTGTTCCATCGATCGGTTGATTTGCATGTTAACCTTTTATTATATAAGAAGGATATATTTTTATTGATTTCAGAGAGGAAATCAAATTTATTGAGTACTAACAGTAGGCAAAAATAGGATATGAAGATAATATGAATAAAATCTAAGTTCCCTGTCCTCAAGTAGTTTTATTTTTAAACTAGAGGCCCTGTGCACGAAATCCGTGCACTCGGGGGGTGGTGGTGGGAGGTTCCCTCAGCCCAGCCTGTGCCCTCTCGCAGTCCGGGAGCCCTTGGGGGATGTCCGACTGCCGACTTAGGCCCGCTCTAAGCCGGCAGTTGGATGTCCTTAGTGCTGCCGCCGCTGCGCTTGCTAGCTCAGGGTTTCTGGCTGAGTGGCGCTCCCCCTGTGGGAGCGCACTGACCACTAGGGGGCAGCTCCTGCATTGAGTGTCTGCTCCCTGGTGTTCAGTACGCGTCATAGCGACCGGTTGTTCCATCGATCGGTTGATTTGCATGTTAACCTTTTATTATATAAGAAGGATATATTTTTATTGATTTCAGAGAGGAAGGGAGAGGGAGAGAGAGATAGAAACATTAATGATGGCTGCCTCCTGCATGCTTCCTACTGGGGAATGAGCCCTCAACCAGGGCATGTGCCCTTGACCGGAATTGAACCCAGGACCTTTCAGTCCACAAGCCGATGCTCTATCCACTGAGCCAAACCAGCTAGGGCCACAAGTTGTTTTAAAGGGACTGTGTGTGCTCAGTGTATTCCCAGCACTTACCTTGTGGTTTATATTTAGCAAGTGTTTCTGGAATGATCAACCAATACAGTGCAGTAGGAAAGATAGAATATTTTACTGTGTGATAAATGCTATAAGATTGAATGTTTGATTGTATCACCAGATTGTTGTTTGGGGAGAAGGACTAACTGGGAAAGTGAAGACATTCCTACCTTAGCAAACAGTGTGAGCAAATCCTTGAAAGTATAAAAATGCATGACCAATTTAGTGAGTTGTCTAGTATGGTTTGATAGAAATAAGAGTTAAGACTAGAATGATAGAGTGGCTCCAGAGATTTTGAAGAATTAATGATATAAGGAGTTTGGATTATTATTATTTTTTAAAATATTTTTTATTGATTTCAGAGAGGAAGGGAGAGGGGGAGAGAGAGAGAGAGAGAAATATCAATGATGAGAGGGAATCATTGATTGGCTGCCTCTTGCATGCCCTCTATTGGGGATCGAGCCCACAGCCCTAGCATGTGCCCTTGACGAGAATCGAACCCCAGACCCTTCAGTCCACAGTCCATTGAGCCAAACCGGCTAGGGTGGAATACTTTTGTTTTGAGTCAGGAGCAATCAAAGGTTTTGAGGAATGGGTGGGATATACAATCAAATCTGAATTTTAGAAATTAACCAACTATGGGATGCTGATTACCAGTTACTACAGAGTCTAGAAAAGGAACTTACATGTAGCGAAGTTGAAAGAATGAGGTACTCACCAATCAGTGACATGAATGATAGGAAAGAAGGAATAGATTTGGGAAATACGTTTTGAAATTAAAATCCATTAGAGTTTCAAGGGAGAATGAGAAAAGGATTCAAGGATTTTTTGACATTCCTGTCTTGGATCAGTAGTTGTTAACCAGGATAGGAAACTTATGAGGAAGAATATGCTTGTGTAATGAATGGGGGTCCGCTTTGCACACGTGGAATTGATTTTGAGATGGGCATGGGACATGTAGCAGAGCCCTCCTATGTGTTTTCATAACACCCTTTGCATACCTCTATTATAGCAAATACTACTGTACTGTATTGTAAGTACTTGTTTCCGTGTGTTTTTCCTATACCACTGTAAGCCTGTCAAAAGTAAAGAGAAGTTAGCCAGTGAGCTAGTGAGATAGCCAGGAGGAAATGTGGAAAAAGAAGAGGAACGGGATGGAATTTAATGAATGGACAGAAGAGAAGGAACCTAAATGACAGCTGAGAAAAGGTAGAGGTAGAAAATGGAAGGAAAAAGAAGAGTTTCAGAATAAGAAAATGGTCAGTATTTTCATTTATTTCAGCTGGTAGAAGTAAGATGAGAACAGAAAAGAATTCTTTTGGTTTTGAAATTGTGTTGTTGATTTTTAGAAGAAGAGGTTCGTGAGGGTGAGAGGGTAGGCAGATTTTTGAGAGGGACTGCTCAGTTTGTGTGGGGAATACCTTTGAAGTGGTAGAGCTGGAGGCAGTCAATACTATTCCTTTACGAAGAAAGAGTTTCAAGAAAACTAAAGGAATAAAGATAAGTCTGAGCTCTGGACTAGTGGCTGGACTAGCACAGTTAGTCTCAAGCATGTCAAGTTCAGTTACAAGTACCACTCACACCTTTTTTATCAAGTTAAGTAGGTCATTGGGTTCATATTTTGGCTTTGCCTCTAAGCAGTTACATTACAACCATAACCTTGAATAAGTTACACCATATCTTTAAGCCTCAATTTCCTCATCTGTAAAATAGATATGTAATGATTAAATTAGGCATTCACCAGCAAATTGTAATACTGTATAATAGGCACTATAAAAAATGTAAAATGCTGTGGGAGCAGAAATAAGGCAAATAATTCATTTGGCTTGGGGGTGAAAATGGTTAGACTACTAGAAAAGGGAGGATTAGATCATGAATGATGAGTTGCAGTTGATGGAGCACAGAAGCAAGGAAACCACTTTAAGAAGAGTATACTATGAGTGCAGATACGTGGAGGTATTAAGGTTCAGATGCTTCTCGACTTATGATGGGGTTATGCCCTGATGAACCCATCATAATTTAAAATATTGTAATTCAAAAATGCATTCAATACATCTAACCTACCAAACATCATAGCTTAGCCCAGCCTACCTTAAATGTGCTCAGAACACTTACATTAGCCTACAGTTGGACAAAATTATTTAACAGAGACTATTTTATGATAAAGTATTGAGTATCTCAGGTAATTTATCATGTGTATCGCTTTTGCACCATCAAAAAGTTGTACCATCATAACTTAGGGATTGTCTGTATACAGGGTGTCCCCAAAAATGTTTACACACCTTGATTATAAAGTCAATGTTTATTAACACAAAGTTCATTTGGAAAATTTAAAAGAATCTACAGAAATGAATATTTTTTTGTCAACACCTGTTTTCAAACTGATGATCATTCTGGTCCAAGCACTGCTGATAACGAAAAACAATGGAATTGCAAACATCAAAGAAAGAATCATTTCGTTCTGTATTTGTGCACCCTCAATTCATCGACTGTTGCTGGCTTTGTACTGTAACTTTATCTTTGATGGATCCCCATAAAAAGTCTATTGGCACTATAGGATACATTTTCTTCAGAGCTTAGTCTGGCTTCATCCATTCTTTCAAATCAGTTATACCTGAAAAGGAATGAAAATTGAGTTATCAGCTGTTACTTAAAGTGTGTGTACATTTTTTGGGTACACCCTATATGTCCTTAGCAAAGACATTATTACCACCTCTAATACATTTCTTAGCTCCATGTCTAAGTGCCTCTCCGAACATGTTCCCATAGTAGTTGTTTTTGTTTTGTTTTTACCCTAAATCAGTACCTATTAACCCTTGCAATTGCCTGTATTCTCAACTAAACTATAAACTCTTTTGGGGCGAGAATCTGATCTGTTCTTTAGACACTAGACACTCAGTAAGTATTCATTGACTGGATGAAGCAGAACTACAATAAAAAAAAGTTTTCAAAAGTATATTCTGGAGCATGCATTTAGTTTTTGTGCTATGAAATGTAGAGCTGTGATTGCCTGGAAGCAAAGAAATTAATTTAAGTAGAAAGCAGCAAAGAGTTCTCTATTAGAGCCTTAGTTATACCTAGTTAAATGATCTTTTCTTGGGGTTTCCATTTCCTTATTTGTTTAATATTATTTATGATTTCTAAGTTTTCTTTCAGCTATATTATTTAGGGATTGTGTGATTCATGCTGCCAGGTGGTTATCTAGGTGTGAACCTTTGAAGGAAAAATAGTGTGAGGCATGTGGTATATGTTCAATAAATATATGTTCAATTCAAAATCCAAAGAATAAATCAGAATTTCTTAATTGGAAGGATTAAACAGACTCTCAGAACCTTTACTTAGAGGTACAAGATGAGCATAGAGCTGGAGTTACTCTCGCTAATTGGTTAAAGCTTTCCGACTATATTATAACATTGTATTTGTTCTGTTGCTGTTTTGGCAACCAAATGAGAACATTGCCACAAAGTATGCAGAACCAGGTTTTTAAATGGTAGATGAGTTTGAGTTTTATTTTAGGAGTCAATAAATAATTGAATGGCTTTTCATAAGTGACACATTTTTATACTTCCTGTTGGGAATTTATGGCTTAAAACACTTTTATTGGTAATGTTCATATTGAGTAGAGTTCTAAGAAACTGTGAAATGGGGAGGTTAAGTTTTTAATGGACTTCTGATTCCTTGCTACATAAGGTATTTCCCAACTGTAGAATTTATGATTGCCCTGACTTTAATTTATTTCTCTTGGTGGTTAATGTAGAATTTTCTTTCTTAAAAACACATGTTAGTATTTAAGTATCAATAATGGTAGGAAAACCTTAGTGATTTACTTGAGTGCCTTCAATATAATTTATTTGTACATCTTTACAAATTAAAGGATAGAAAACAGAAGTGTAGTACTGTTATAATTTTAAAGGCCAAGAATAGAGTTGCAACATGTGCCAAATAAATTACTGTAGGTAGAGTTGTTCTCGAGGGAATATGTTTTATTTATTTAAAATCTGAAATATCTTGGCTCTGAATAGCATCAAATTCCCTTATTATCTAGATTAGAAAATCTAAACTGTAAGTGGTGAAAGTCTTGGGAAAATATTTTGGAAGTGTTTTTTAAATAGTTTTTCCATTTGTATTTTGTAAGAATTAGAGCATAAATGAATATCTGGTAGACATTCTATATGAGTATCTTTATGGTTTTTGTTTTTCAGGCATTTTAAAAATATTTAATCATTCATGAGTTGAGCTTCATTCTTGAGTCATGGATGACAAGGCTTCTGTTGGAAAAATCAGTGTGTCCTCAGACTCAGTATCCACTCTTAATAGTGAAGATTTTGTCTTGGTTTCCAGGCAAGGAGATGAGACACCATCTACAAATAATGGGAGTGATGACGAGAAAACAGGACTCAAGGTAAAACTCCATAACCTAAGTTTCTTCTGTTTAACCTTGCTAAGCCCATTGCAAAACTTGGCCTTAATGGGAAGGTATATGGAGTGCAAGTGAGAACATGGGAATAATATCCTTTCTTTTTTAATGCTAAAAAGTTTTATTTACAATTAGTGATAGTGACACATTTATATTTGATTAAGAATTTTTAATTTGATTACTTCTAAACTTCTATTACCCCTAACTGTCAAAATTAGTGGTCGTGTAAACATTTGTAATTTTAGTGTTATTTTCACTTTCTCATTGAATTTGATTGTTTTGGTGTATGTAGTGTAAGGGCAGTGGCAGGTCAGCAATGCTATTTATAAAAAAGAATTTTAGGATTATTGAAATGGACCTTTAAATTCCTGGCTTTTGGCCACTTCTGTTTGTTTATATTTTCTCAGCCAAACAACTATTACTTCTTTTCCCATACTCTGTTATTGTTTTGCTCTTTATGGATATAAATAAAAAGTTTACCTGTTAGCATAATTTAAAATGTAAGTAGCTTTAGAAACATTTCTATTCCTGTTTACATATTTTCATTTAACAAGTCTTTCTTATTATCAACTGTGTGCCAAGTACTATCCTATATAATAAAAGCCTAGTATGTAAATTGTCCCCTCGACCTGGTGTTCGACTGCTCGCTATGACATGCGCTCACCACCAGGGGGCAGTGTGGAACATGGCGGGTGTCGGTGATGCGGTGCTGGCAGCGGGCGGCAGTGGAGGGGCTGCCGGCCCCGATGGGCCCCCATGAGAGTGGGACCATGGCAGGATGGTGGAGTGGGTGAGTGGGCGGCGCCAGGCCAAGGTTGGTGCAAGTGGGTCCTGATCACCCTGCAGACGACTAGTGGCGGGAGCGGGGCTGCCACCTGGCTCCCAGGTTCTAAGGGAGCCAGGCAGGGCCCAGGTGTTGCCCAGGGCCCAGAGGCCAGCTGGGACCTTCCCTTCCATGCCAGATGCTCATGCTTCGATTGCCAGCCAGGCCTAGGGACTGTGCCCGTGCACTAATTTTGTGCATCAGGTCTCTAGTTCTAAATACTTGAGATACAGTGGTGAATAAGATAGGTAAAGAAAGCCCTGTGTCCTTCTTGGAGGAAACAGACTCTAAGCATATAAGAAAGCAAATATACGTAAATTTAAGTGCTGTGAAGAAAATCAAAGTAGGATATGTGGATAATGAGTGAAGGGGCAGGTACTATTTTAGAGACTGTCTTGAAATGACATGTGAGCAGAGACCTGAATGAAATGAGGAAGAAGATCAAGGAGAAATCAGGGAAAAGAGCTTTCCACAGGGAATAGAAAACAGACCCTGAAGAGGGTCCCCCTTATTAGGACAGATAGAACAGAATGAAGAAAATAAATGAAAAGTGGTAGAAGACGAGATCCAAAGACAGGTAGGGGCTGGTTTAAATAGAACTTTTTAGAGTTTAGTAGGAATTGGGACTTTGTTAGAGATGTGAAAGGAATTTTTGGAGAGTTTTGAATGGGACATGATCTAGTTTTCATTTTTAAAAAGCTCACTGGCTGGGCACCTCCAGCATAACAGCATGGAAGCTCTGTGGAACTGTTCCCCAGCAGCAGTAGTAATAGTTATTAAAAAACAACCACTGAAAGTCTGTGGAAATATTCTAAAGGATGAAGAAACATTTATTCAAGGAAATTTACTAAAATTTGGTAAACAATTCTATGGTATTTGAACCAAGACCTGTTTTTCCCCCCTCCTCTATCCCAGCCAAACATCATGGTAATAAGTCCATTTCACATTGGTGCAATCAAGAAAACAGGGTTTCCTCCCCACCCCACTCCCACCCCCCAGCTCACAGGTCTGAGGGCTATCTTATAGACAATAGCATTTCTCACCCTGCTTCCAGCTTTTTTTTTTTTTTTTTGCTGGCCAAGTGTGACTCAGTGGTGGGGGCCCCAGCCCTTAACTCTCTGCATGAAGGCCATACATTGGGCGTAGTGCTGCTGAGTATACCAGGAGCCTGATTGCCCTTGCATGTAAAGTAGTGGTCCCCACCACTAGAGTCAAGCCAAAAGGACTTGAGACTATTATACCACCTCCCATACCCACCAAGTGCTCAGCTTCTGAAGATGAGGTATCACTCAAGGAGAAGCATGCCATTGTCTATACTTTCAACCTTATAGCTGTGGCTCAGAGGTTTTGCCTATAGTGAGAAGGGAGCCATAAAACAGTTCCTAATCTCTTTCCAAAGTAATTGATTTTATTTACAACAGAGTGTAGATAAGTTAAAGCCTAGGGGTACTCCCCAAAACAGTGGAGGTGTAGTGAAAGGTAATTGGGAAGAGATTTGTAGATTGATTGGACATACAGGTTTAACTGTAGGATTGCTAGGCAGAGACTACCTTGGATCAGAACAAAACTCAAACACTGACTTCTGGAGCTCTCCCTTCAAAGTAACCTCAATTTGGTATATTCTGTGGAGCAATTTATATTTGTTGAAAACAATACAGCAATCAGCCACAATTACTGGAGTGGTCAGGGAAGGAGACAGAGCATATTGCTAAAACCACTCTTATCCCGGGATGACTGTAGGCAAACTCTAATCTGATACCCCAAGGAGCAACATCAGAGGCTTAACACTATGGGAATTAGGGGAATAGAATTTACTAAAATAAGCCCGCTAGTCACTAAACTAACAAGCAAGCATAAAAAATACCAAGAGTGGGGAGACCAATACTGAAAATTGATACAATATAATACCTAAAATACCTAGTTTCCAACAAACAAACAAAAATTGTGAAAAATGCAAAGAAAAAAAATACAATCCATACATGATAGAAAAGGCAGTATATACTGCTTGTGAGAATGTCATGTTGGAATTAATATACCAACTCTTCAAAGTAGCCATTATTAACATCAATGAATTGAAATAAATCATGCTTAAGAAATAAAGGAAAGTTCAGTGACAGTATTAAATTAAATAGAGAATATCATTAAGGAGATAGAAATTACAACAACAACAAAAAGCACCTAACTGCAATTCTGAATGGGAAAGCAAAAACTAAAATGAAAAATTCACTAGAGAAGCTCAACAGTAAATTTCAACTGGCAAAAGAAAGAGTTAACGGGAGATGATGCCATCAAAATAGCAGTACAGGAGTTTTCTACCGCTCTGCTCTCAAGGAACACTGATTTAGATAATCACTTACAGATGAGAGTACCTTTGTGAAAGTCTGGGAGTTCAGCAGAGAAGTTCCAGCACAGTGTTGGAGCAAAAAACATCCTAAATTAGACTCATTGAAGACTATCAAAGGACTAGTTTCACTTTACCTGTGTCACCCCTAATCTAAGGTGGCACAACTCAGTGCCAAGAGATACTTACTCAGCTAAATTGAGCAACATGTTCTCCAAATTTAAAATGTTTTCTCTATTTCCATGTAATTACAGTATACCTGTACAGTATATACCATTTTTTGTGTGTGTGAAGACCTGGTAAGTGAAGTAGTAATAAAATTAGATAACTATGAGTTCTATTATCAGAGGAAACTATAACAGGATTACTGCAAGTTTGTTGCCCAGTTATGCTCACTCTTTTTGAAACTTTTTCTCAGCCACTAGTAGATTTTAAAACTGCATTGAATTTAGACAATACATTTAATATGTCTATCACTCTTCCATCTCAAAAGTTTTAATTGAGTGGTTTGTTGAATATTCAGGTGATATCTAGTAATCTACCAAGTGTTTTAGGCATTGAGGATAAGAACTCCTATTTTGAAAATAGGATGACCTAGAAAACCTTATAATGCCAGCACAAAATACTTGGGAAAGCTGGATGAAATATAACAAACACCCCTTTAATAATCGCTGTATTCATAAGACAATAAAGAAAATCCCTAAGGAACAAAAGCCAAGAGGGAACTGAAAGTTAGAACAATACATATGAGATGACATTGGGGCTGCACTGTTCTTTACAACCAGTGGACTTTGGTTTTGAAAGTAACTACATTGGGAAAGAGAGAACGCCTTGGGTTTTACAGAGAGTAGTTGGAACTGAGATTTCATTATAAAGCACCCTTAAGGGCTACTCCTAACTGAAAGGATAGACTTGAAAAAAAAATGTTCCTACAGTCACAGGAAGAAAATAAGGAATTTTATATATCTTAGCCTGAACGCCAGTTTAGAGGAGAGTCTTGTTGAGCTTTTTGTACCCATAGGCTTGCCTTCATGTATGTTTGGGAAGTGAATTTACATTACGTGCATGGTCCTGGGTTGGTAATACTCCTGGGGCACATGATAGAGTCAATTGTAGAACTACTCTGGAGGGACATACTTGCCACCCGGGCTGCATGGTAGTCTCACAGATAACCCTGATAAAAAATAGTACACATTTCAAAATTTACAAATATATACAAAGGACAGTTTATCATAAGCAAGAGACAGCAAATCTGAGCAGGATCAAACTCACCAAAATTCAGGCACTTGCATTAGCTGTAACCTTAAGATATACTAATTTAAATGATTAAAGATTTAAAGAAAAATTTATAAGCATTACAAAAGAACAAAATTATCAAAAAATTTAAAAGATCAGGCAAATTTAAAATAGAACTTCTGCAAATGAAACTTGGAGGCAGTGAAATTAAAGATTCAGCATTAATCAGCAGAATAGACATGGCTAAAGAGAGAATCAAATTTTTGTAATGTAAACCTTAGGAAATTACCCAGAAGATAGCACTGAAAGATTATAAAGTATGAAAGGTCAGTTAAGAGACAAGGAAACTTGGATGAGAAGGATCAACATATCTATATCTATAGACACTGAATGGCTAGATTATTATGCCCACCTGACGTTTGTAGTCAAATTAGCCGTACACTGCATCATATGGGATATGGAAGCCGAAGGCCTGTTCAAACACCTTTGCTGTCTGCAGTTACCAAGATAAAATGTCTCCAATTCGCACAGGAACACAAGGATTGGACAGTCGAGCATTGGAAAAAAGTCATGTGGTCCGATGAA